TCCACTGTACAGAGTCCAAACTTGGAATCAACTGTGAGCTCAAAGTTTTGATGGACATCACTCCCTGTATAGAGTCCAGCCAATTGGCTTCACCCCTATATAGAGTCCATTGGTCCAAAATCAACTGTACGGAGTCCAAACTTTGAAATCAACTATAAGGATTCTTTATGTGGACAACACCCCTGTATAAAGTCCAGCCAATTAGGCATCCCCTATCCAGAGTTCGAAATTAGACATAGGATCTGCTGTAAGCAGTGAATATTGACCAGAAAACGGCCTCTCCCTTTAATCCTTTACATCATTCACTTCTCAAGATAAAAAAATATGTATTGAGGCGCCACTGCAGCCACTTCATTACATGAAAAACCCTACAAACACCATCCTCAAATCAAGTAGTCTCTTCGCAGACGCTGCAAATTACAACATCTCAATCATTTAGTGTTGCCAAATTATTGTGCACGCACACACCCACACAACGCCAAGAAAATAACTAGAAAAAACCAAGAATCGAAAGAGAATAGTGGAGAGCCCAGGATTAATTATTTGTTTTCAAATTATTGTGCGTGCGCGCACACACACACACACACACACACACACACACACAAACTTATACAACGCCAAGAAAACACCAAGAAAAGAGTAGAGACACAATACACACGCAACTCCAACAGCCATGCAAACGTCCACCCATTTACATGTAAAGTCAAGAGGGATAACAAATAATTATACGAAACTAATGCGTACGGGGACGGGTACACGCACGTTTACATACACGTAGTAGTGTAAGAGAGTAACATAGTGCAGTGGTCAGCATAATACTAGCACATGCTGAGAGTGCAATAGCAAGCTTCACCATTGCTCATGGCCATGCAAATGTTCAGCAGCAATCAGTTCCGCAAGCTTCTGAAGATCAGCACACCTGCAACAAATAGATAGCACAAGGAGACGTTTATTACCGTAATGATGCATGGGAGCACACAACTACCAAGTTCTCAACGAATGTGATGCTCAATGAAAATCAATCCACTCAAAGACCTGTGAACAGGTGATGGTGGGGACAATAATCTATTAGTAATACGAGGAATAAGATCGTTTGTGCACACTCAAGACGCACAGACACACCAACATACATGTAGTGTACACAGTGTTTCACTTCACTGCAACTAAATTGAAATGAGATGATTTGAACAATCTGTACAGCGTTGCTGTCAGTCAGTCTTCCCCAAGATGGAAATGCAATGATTTGTTGTCACGAGGCAGTTTCACTGACACAATGTCATGTTGGTGACATCAAAACGGTTACTTCAGGGAATACGAGTATTAGCTTGAGAAGCTTTTTTTGTCATTGGCATACAAGCAATCCTCCTAGTCCTACTACTACTACTAGTACACTGGCACTGCGTTTGTGGATCCCATTGTATTTGACATCATACTACAGGAAGAGTGTCGTGGAGTTCACATAATTATCACAGGGATAAACTTGAATACATTTCTCATGAAATAAAATAATAATTGATGATAGCTAGACGATCATATACGATTGATGCAAAGTCCTTGCAGTCCTTGAGGACTATTACGAAGTGGTTGATTACTTTTAGGGCATTCATTCAAGCAACATCAAACAAACGCGATACGCTCCTTGAAAATGGAAAAAAATATTCAAGCATAACGACAGAACAGCAGACCAATCGAAACGAGTAAAAGCTTCCTTACCTCAGTCATCGTCCTGCCATGTAGTTGGACAGCCTTTTGACACGGTGGTACAGGCAGCTCTTGTCCAATCAAACAGGGGTATCCTTGTGGCGTCGAACGAAAGAGAGTGTCAGTGTATCTGACTCGTCAGATTGCAACTGTGCTGAACTTTTCTCTTTCTCCGCTTTCTGCTTTCATCCCTCGCTCTGATGAAACCGTTCAAACGTCTTACTGGCAGCAATGGCCAGCCAATCAGGGGATCCTTGTGGCGTCACGAAAGAGAGCGTCAGTGTACCTGACTCGTCAGATTTGAACTGTGCTGAACTTTTCTCGTTCTGCAATTTCTGCTTTCATCCCGCGCACTGATGAAACGTCTTCAGAGAACCACAAGACGCTTTCCAGATTTGATTTTGAACGTCTCCTTATCCTCCTTGGTTACCTCGAGACAGACTACTGTCAGCAACTGCACAGCAGAATTGGCAGCCATGGCTGAAGTGAAGAAAGGAATGCGCTGCCACGAGGCAAGCAAAACTGAAAATGTTTTTGTTCTCTTTCGGGCACAACACACAGGACGGCGTGACTGGATAAACTGGACTCCTGGACTGTGAATAGGGGACTTGTAGAAAAAGTGTACTCCTTATAGGGGATTGCGCGGCAGGATGAAGCTGATCAAAACTGAGTGGACTCCTGGACTCTGTATAGTGGATTTTGGACCAATGGACTCTATATAGGGTGCTGGACATCATATAGTGCATGGACTCTATACTGAGTCCTACATATACTATGAAGAGAATTTCAAAAAGTATGTTTCGCGGAGCGATCGCTCAACCTACGTCATTCAAACTTTGCAGGATGGTTCAGACGTACATGCTAGGCATGGAACTACAGGCGATGATGCCATAGCTGACACACAGAGTAACACACACAGCAGATTCGTGTGCACAGATACTAAATTAGTGGACGTCGTCATCTTCTTCCCGCTGATCTCGAATGTACTATGACGTGCTATTTCGCCTGACGGAGTGGGTAGATGTGCGCATCTCAAAGACCTAGAGCTGGTAAAGGTCAGTCGGTGGCTAGAGTCTTCTCGATAACTAGCACGGGGGTACATAATGGAATGCCCCCTACCCCAAATGCTGCCGCACTGTCATTTACAACACTGCATGTTTGCCTGACTGAACGAAGTGTTTCAATGTGTACCTTTTAATTATCTCGGATAATGAGCCAGTAATAAGTGTAAAATGGAAGCAGAAAGCACAAGGAAACGAGTTATGAAGCAACTATCCACGACTGTATAGCCTATGTAGCCTATGTAGCTTGTCGACTAATTAATTTCATTTTATTCATGGTTTTCACCATCCCATGCACACTGGTCCTCCTCTATGCTGTTCTTGTGTGTGTATTGCAGCCCCTAGTTCCTTGCGCTCCCCGAGCATCACCGCAGTAGGTTCTCGCAATGCTAGTGTGTCGTGGACATTGCCCGATCAGCCTAATGGCAACCTGTCAGCGTTGATCGTGTGGGTCAACGGACGGGAAGCGCTCCGCTCCAGCAATCCTCTGATCTTTGTATCTCAGCTGATGCCGCTGGAACCCTACACGGTGTACAGTGTACGGGTGGAGTACTGCACGGCCGCTGGCTGTGCAATCAGCGCCAACGACACCATGTTCACCACTCTGGCAGCTGCACCAGCAGGTGTGGCGCCACCCACGGTCTCGGCGCTGGGGGATTCAAGCATTGAGATGGTGTGGACTGCCCCGACACAGGAAAATGGCATCATATCAGGATATGACATACTATCTGGTCATACACTTCCGTACACCGTTCTCCGTCAAGTGCCTGCGATCAACAGAAGAGTGGTAATTGACCAACTCAAGCCAGCCACTTTATACATGATTCGTGTGAGAGCGACGAATCAAGCCGGCTCCACAGCCAGCATCGCAGCCTCTGTCACAACGTTGGAGGGAGCTCCGGCGGGGATTTCCCCTCCTTCTTCGCTGGGCATCAGGTCACGAAACATAACACTCGCCTGGCAGCCACCTGCTATTCCGAATGGAGTCATCATCCGATATCGGGTCATTGCAGACGGCAGAGCAGTGCTAACTGTGACAGCGGGCATGCCGCGAATGGCAACCGTCGACAACTTGACGCCATTCACCAATTATTCCTACTCGATCGAAGCGTGCACAGCTCGCCTGTGTGCAACTGGCACAGAGCATACTGTTCGGACCCTGGAGGACGTCCCAGCC